ACACACATTCACAAACACACACAGATGCAGACACACACACACGCGCACACACACATGTAATATCACCGCAAACACACACACACACACACACACCCACACCCACAGACAAGGCCTGTTATTGCTGGGAGGGTTGAATTAGTGTCGGTGTGTTTCAGATAAAAGTGTTAGTGTGTGTTGGACCAGCGAGCTCAAACACACCGACCGGCCAACAGGAGGAAACAAAGGAAGAGTGAAGAGAGGGAGAGAGATGAAGAGAGAGCAGGGGATGTGGAAAAGAGAGGAAAAAATGAACCTTTCACATCTTTTGATTCGCTCAGCACCATCCTCAATTCTTCACGGTATATATATATATATATGGATGTCAGGAGGATGTGTGGTGGGGAAGAGGGTGAGGGGAAGAGGGGGGAGTTGTGTGTGTTGGGAGTGAGAGAGAGTAAAGAGAGGTAGATAAAAGTAAATAGAGAGAGTGAGAGAGGGAGGGAGAAGCAGAGAGGAACTGGCGGTGGAGGGGTTAATGCAGTGCAGATTCCCGATTGACAGAAGTTAGCAGCACCCAGAGGGAAAGAGAGAGGAGAGAGAAGGGGGGAATGATATAAAATGAGTCGGTCACGCTTTGAACAGTTACACATGCTGTTTACATTTTTCCCAAATTAACATGGCCCCTCGCTTCAGAAAACTCTCCCTCACCGGCTCCCTCTCACTCCCCTCCACCAACTCCTTTTCCTCTCCCTCCTTCCTTGCAAATCCTCTCCTCCTCCTCCTCCTCCTCCTCCTCCCCTCTGTCCCTATCCTTCACCCTAAAATATCTTTCCTCACTCTTAGATCCAGATTCAGATCCATTACTGAAGTAACCGTAGTAATACCACCATATAGACGATACTCTTTAAAGTGTTAAAATCATCATCTAAATGCCCTTGAAGCATTTTAATGTTGTGGCAGGTCGGCTAATTTAAAGTTTTTATGTACTTGTACATATTTAAATAGCTGTATAACGATGTATCATATATTTTAAAAGCTCATTTTAGATTTATAAAATCTTAATCTGCAAAGTAACTTCAGTTCCTAGATAAATGTAGTGGAGTGAAAAGTACAATATTTACCCCCGAAATGTAGTAGAGCTGAAGTACAAACTCGCATATATTTAAATACTCAAATAGATTGATAACTTAATTCGCTCACGCACAGTAACGGTAACAAGAGATACGGTCAGACAGCTCACAGTAGACAACAAACACATACTGCCACAACAACACAACACAAACTAACACATACTGTATTCCAGTCATTACATTATTGGAGCTCAGGAGCCAACTAATGAACACACCATACATTAATACAATCAGTCAATTTAAAGGGGCAAACAATTAGATATAAAACAAGACCTTTAGGGCTTTCTATTCGTAAATAATCTGCCAATTACTTTGTCAGACAATCAGTTCTTTGGGCTGTTATGTCATAAAATCACAGCTTTTCTAAATCACAGTTTCCTAAAGTCCAAGGTGACTCCTTCAAAACATTACGAGCAGAAAGTCCAAAAAACCCAAATATATTCTGTTTACTATCAAATAAGAGAAAGAAAATTCTCACATTTGAGAAGCTGGAGAATATTTTAAATGTTTCCTTGAAAATGTTTAAAAATAGTTTTACTATTAACTGACTGAATTGTTGCAGTGGCTCAAAAGTACAACACATTACACTTTGTTACTTTCCATCACTGCCTTCTTACTTTCCTCTTAAAGCAGAACATTCAGCAGCGGGTTCTCTTTTTAGGTATTTTTTTTAAAGAGAAAACAATGAGGTGGAGATGTGGAGTAGCCGGGGTGAGGGTAGCAGGAGAGGAGGAGGGGGGTGGGGGTGTTAAGAGGTAAATTAAAAACCGAAGGTCTGAAAAAGGCAAACGAGGGAATGAAAGATGTTGACGGAAGGAAGGAGTGGAGCCAATTAGTGAAAGGAAGAGAGGGGAACGATAATTAGGGAGAGAAAGGAAGGAGACTTTAAAAGTTTAAAAGTTTGATGTTTCAGGAAGATTTAGGGAGAGAGGGGGGACAGATGAAGCGACAAAGAAATTGAAACCAAACATGGCGATAAAGCATGGAGCGACTGGAATCCACAGATTAAAAAAAAGAGACACAGATAGATTGGCTTATAAGGTGAAGAGGGAGACGGACAGCGGGGTAAGAAGGGGAACAGAGGATGTCAAGTTTACGACCAGCGAGAAATAGTTGCACGGAGACTTTCTGGGCATAAACATAATTTTATTGGATTTACTTTTTATATGTGTGTTTTCTTTCGCCTTTGTTTTTTGGGTCATTGATGTTGTTTGGCAACTCCGGTGTGTGTCCAGTGCCAAGAGGATCAATTTGAAATTCAGTATGAACAAACTCCAGAGAAGGAATCTCATGGGAGAAGTGATGGGAAAAGTGTGTGTGTTTGTGTGCTTGAATACACAATGGTTTGTTTATATGTATTTATTCAGTGTAACGTCTGTGCATACATGGATCTATGCTCCAGTGCACAATCTGGATTCATATGTGTGCACGTTGGTGTGTGTGTGTGTGTGTGTATGTTTGTGTGTGTTGAGTTAGGGAAGGAATGCATATTTGATTGAGTACAGACTGCACATAAATCTGGCCTTTAAGTGTACACAGACACACAACACCGACCCTGACCCCAGACTGTCAACCCCCCCACCTCCACTCACCTCGCCGGCAGTCCAACGCGTGTCCACTTCCACTGTGGCTCCGTCAGTCTGTTGTGTGCATGTTTTTTGCCCCCAGCGTCCTCCACAGGTGTGTTTATGTTTAGGGTAAGTGTTATGACAGAAGGCAAAATTGCCACCAGGTACAGTGCAGCAGAATAATTAAAAAACTATGCAAGAGACAAACAACTCCTCTGGGTTTGGCTCCGATGGGTCTTTTCTGTCAACAAAGCTACAGTGAGCCTCCAGCTCTGACTCTGACACGTCAGCAGGATGACAACAAATATGCAAGACAAGTCAGAGGATGGAAGCACATTCTGAGAAAGAAATGTGACACCTGTGAAGTAAAACCAAAGTGGTCTTAGATACCAAATTCAAAAGTAACTCAATACAACCACTAACCAAAGTAATCACATTTAGTGGCCATACTGTACTTTAGTGATACTGAATGATGAACTGACCTGAAGAGTATTGAGAATCATTCTTGAGCATGGCAACATATTCGTGATCCAATATTATAAACTCTTACTAACTGTTTCTGGAGCTTTCAAACATATACTACAGACGTCTTCACTGAATGGAAATTTCATCAGGAGTCATGAGTGCAGAACCTTGGTTGGTTCACCGAAGAAGACTGTGGGATACGAATGAGAGTTTATGCTGCATTCACACAAACGTCGGAATAATGGGACGTTTTTCCTTTTTCTTCTTCTTCTTCCCGACTTGTGACTGAACACTCATTATTCCAAAGTGCTTAACCCCACTGATAGCCCTGTGTGACCAAAGTAGTTAACAGATGAAATCTATTCTTTTAGTGTTAATATTAGATTTTATTTAGATGTCACCACCAGTGATGGACGATTTGCAGCCGTTTCCCAACCATTTGTGGACAGTTTCAGCTGTCAGACAATTCCTTATATCTCTGACTTACAATTACAACTAGGAGACTAACAAGAACCTTTTTTGCTGAGTCTGCTGTTGTAAATCACATTCTGAATGATATGACTTCAACCTGGCATTAGAACATTTTATCACAGAAGCTTTTTATTTTTTACAATGCACATGTGGCAGTTTGGAAATGATCTCATATTATGAACTGAACTGAGGCTCTGTGTTCCCAGATCTTCAGTATGTCCAGATTGTAATTAGATTAATTTCACATTAAAATATTTTACATTAAAAACAATTCAGGTAAATCAGATGTATAGGTATTTCTATGATATAGATGTGTCTGCAGACTCTCAGATTGGATTAAAATCTGCCTTTTAAGTCACTAATATATGACATCAATGCCCCCATCCATCAGTCATTTCTGTCCCTAATGTTGTCTAATATTGTCCTCCAGTGTAGCAGAGGAGCTCTGCACAGTGGCTAGATAACACTGAAGTGTGACGAGTGAGAGGACATAGCCTGCAGCATGTTGTTTTGGTTCTGGGAAACACTTTTTTTCCCCCAAATCAGGCTGCATGTTTTGATTAAATAGCTAAATCTTGTCAAAGTTTTACGATGTGTGCTCCCCAAAAATATAGCATGACAATATACTGCAGTCATCCTAATCAAAGTTGCACTGGAAATGATAAACATCTAATTTGGACTGGATTCTCAACATCTACATACTGATGTTTCCTCTCTGTTTAAGACCTCTTTCAAGTGGTTAGAGCAATGGAGGGCAACCTCTTCTGGCACTGGAGCTAGTTTTTCCTGGACCAGACTGGAGAGATTAACTTGCACATGGTTTTCCCACAATACCAAATTCTGTTTAAGTGCTTGTTTAAAACCTCAAATAGTGGTGCATGTTGGGAAAGATGAAATACTAGTCCTCTAGGATGGAAGCGGTACAACACCCACAAACACTGGGTCACTGGTTTACCAAAACACCGTCTGGAGTGTAAAATGTCAAGTGTGTTACGAGGCCCTTCTTGGCCCCGAACACAACCTTGCGCCCCAAAATTCAACTTTGAACCCTGACCCTGTGCTGATGTCTAATTCGGACCTGTTTGGAGCTCAGGAGCTCTGGCGCCTGATCCTCATGTTCAGCTCTGTATTGCAGATGGCAGCCAGACTCCCGAGTTCCAGATCTGACTTTACATCTACGAACAAACGGTAGATAAAAAATACGATCTGTTGTGAGTAATGGAGCTCCCCTGTGTGCGCGTGTGCGTAACCCTAATAGGTACGTGTGCCAAAATGTGTAGAGTCACACACACATAAGTGCACAGAGGCGGGTCACGGTCGGCCGTTGTAGGGAACCCCTGTGTTGCTGTAATGCAATCCTCTCGTGGAGAATGTTCTGGTTTCAACCCTGCCCTGCGGAGTGTGCTTCCACTGCCAGGTACACAGACACAGCCCCAAGCCTGCAGGGCTCCCCTTGAAGTCGGGCTATATGCCGACTATAGTCTAGTTACTCAATATAATATAACAACAACATGGCTCTGGGTTTGAGTTATCTCAGTTTACTTACTGTACAAAAGAGTGGTTGTTTTAAGCCACAGCACAGGATGCTTTTAGACATGTCAGCGCTCAATCAAAACAACAAGAGACTTTCACGTCTGGTAATCATCTCCGAGCATGTGGCTGAAGACAAAAGCAAACGGTTTGGAACAGTTTGGGTTGATTTATGCCAAGGAGAAATTTCTTTCTCCTTCTACTCCTCTTTTTTTTTGGTACCTGTTTATTCCTTCTGAATGCGACCCTTTTTGCACACTGTGTGTTCTTTTCCTTCAGGGCTGTTTACTCTGAGAGTCAACGATGTCGTGTTGATTTTGGGGTGTTTTGATGCTAATGGGGGATGTTCAGCGGGAGGAGACCGTAGCTTGATGAGCTCCAAATGTTCAGGCGTCGCTGAAAGATGCTTATTGCTTCTGACAGGTGATGAGGCTTTTGCTGTTGAGGGGATGGGAGAAGGCTTGGCTGACGGGGGCCGTCCTAGTTGATTGATTTCAAGGTGTGTGTGGGAGCATGTGGGAGTTAACTGGGCCCAACCACAGTGTTTTTGAAAATAGTCCGGATGGATGCTTTGATGTAGCCGACAACAGGTAGTGGAAAAGTTACCTTCAATGAATGAGGCAGTTATTTTAAATCGGCTGGGGAGTTGTTTTCTCCATGTCACTCCATGACAAGCATTTCTAATCCTATTTTAATTTGAAACTGCCAGTTTCCCAATCTGTCATTCAAGCTGTCATTAATACTGAAACCATTTGTTGAATACAACTTGTTTTCAGCGAGCTCGAGCGTGTTAGACGGGTTTGGAAGCAGAATACGTTGTCATCGTATAATGTATGTCATCATTGTAATTTGTAACATAATCAAAGAGATTCATTTTACTTGTCAATGTATTCTGATGGTTTGTTTTCCTTCTGATTACTACTTAGACGGCACGCTACACAAAAATAAAAAATAACAAATTTCTCTTCATTTCTCTACCAGATGTGACCCAGAATTTCTTGCTTTCTGCAACTACAACACATTCTTGTTTTACGTAGCACAGCAGCCAATACATAACATTATTAAGTTTCTACCCAACCCTGTTTGGGAGTGCATACCGACACGTCAAACGTAAGTGGTTGAGTCAGAGGAAAAAGGTGTTGACTGTTTTAGGTCAGAACTTGTTTTCTTAGAACCACTGAAAAAGTGTTGAAGGTAAATGTTTTGTGTTCACTTAAAATCTCTTTGTCATCATGTGGGGCCCCGTCATGATGTATAGATGAAAGAAAAAGAAAAAAAGAGGCAATAGAGGGAGAGTAGGAGAACTAATCGGGGTTAATTGGCTGCTGTTATTTTGACCCGGGGCAGAAAAGAGATAAGCACGCCGAGAGAAGAAAGGGAAGAAAAGTGGGGAGGTGAAAAAGGTATGATGAGAAAGAAAGGAAGGTTTGCGGTGTGACTAGTTTGAGAGGATATAAATCGGTGAAGCAACGGGAGGCCCGAGGTGAGTCAGAGGAAGACAGAGTGGGCTAACGAGAGAAAGCTGACAGGGTCACACAAATTGTGCAATACATATTTCACACCTGTTGAACAGCAGCATGTTTTGCCCATAATTTCAAGCATGAATTACTGTCTACTGTCTGAGTGTCAGGAAGATGAGAGAGCACATGGAGGATGGAAAAGGATGACAGAGAGCAGAGACGAGGAAAGAAATGTGTGTCGCGCTCGAGCGAAAGGGCCGAGGAAGTGTTGAGAGAGAGTGTGAAAGTGAAAGCGTCCAGAGACAGCAAGAATGGGGATGAAGAGGAGTGGACGTACATGGAGTCCCTTAATGTTGAAAACCACCTTTCAGCTCCAATTTTCTCAGTTTGAAACCAGAGATGGGGACACTAAAAGGTTCCCAGTGTTACCTCCCCCCCCCCCAAAAAAAAAACACACACACACACTCAAAATGAGTGTATACACTCACATAATTGTGAATTTAATCCACATATATAATTACGGCTACAAACATTCTCACAAACACTCACACAGTTACATGAAACACCCACACAAACCCTCGGAAACCTAAACAAGTCCACAGCAAAGATACAACTGATACAAACACATTAATGTTCGTGATTGTAAAGAAAGCCACATGTCTTTGTTTTTGGGGATATCAGTCAGGAATGAACATATGTGTGTGTGCCTATGTGTGCGTGTGGTGCATTGAACATAGGAGCCATTTGTCTGACTGTCTGAAGCCATTAAGAGAGGTTTTATTTGAAGCCAGAGTAAACCTCCGACAGCCAGAAACCTCTAAAATTAGATTGGAAACGGAAAAAGCTTTATTGGCAGTGTCAGATGACTCTGACTTGGCAATATGTAAACAGATGAGGCCATCGCCATAGAGACAAAGAAATAAACCAGAATAATTGTAAAAAATCCTATAAACAGAGTGATGGTGCAGCGCCTGGACACTGTTGCTGGATGTGATTTTTGTCTGTTGAGCTCTCAAATCATCAAATTTATTAAAAACCAACTATCCAAGTTAAATAATCGCGAAATGTCTGAGAAAATAATGTTTGAGATAAGCTTCACCTCATTGTTATGATTACAAATACCTCTGCAGTGTGTGTTAATTAGTACTTGGATACCCATGGTGTGTGTCACTAAAGAAACATCTCACACTGTCTGTCTGAGCTTTCATCAGTCATTCATTTTTTAATTTCTCCACAGTCCATCAACCCCAGCTCTTCTTGCTATTGGCTGCTGTCATGGCAACGGCCCTGGATTCCTCACACACGCTGGCCAGTGAGAGGAGTTCGATAGAAAGCACATACGAGCTGACCAAATACCTGGAGTATCAGCTCAAGGAAATCAAAGACATATATGTGAGTCATTTTTATGTGATAGGAACTCTTATCTTATTTGATCAAAGTCGACAATGAACCACTTTCGCATATATTTACTTTGTGAGTAATAGGTAATCTCTGAAGGAACTTAATCACAATCTGAAACACTGCCACTTTATTAAAGTGGCTGTAATTAATATTTTTATAATAAGAATGTATCAATGACATTGTGAAAACAATTTAACAGTGTTAAAGGGTCGCTCATAGTGATGAACCTATTGTACTGAGATTATCACCTGAATCTGCAGCTCTTCTTAGCTTTACTGAGCTTTATAGTGAGTTTCAGATCATTGTTTAGCTCTCTCTGCTGCAGCAGGTCTCTGTTTTCAGTGTAAAACCTCTAAAATCCTACCTGCTCAACACCAAACTGCAGGCAGACACAGTTAGAGACTAGCTGGTGAACATTTTGCAGATAAACAGCCTCATATTTCCCTCAGGAGTCGATAGAGGTCAAAAAAGTAAATATATATAGACATTTATTTATCAGCAGGCCAAAAAAAACATGTCTCAAATGACTGTTTGCTAAGAAGTTTTCCATACAAACTTAACTGTCTCCATTATCCCCAAAAAAGTGGCCTAAATAAATATAAAAACAGCTATTGTAGGTTCAAGCAACTAGTTTGACATTTTGAGAAATACCCTTATGCAACCAGACTATTTTGGAAGAGAAAACAAAGCCAAACTGCAAAGTCACTGTTACTGTGAACACTCACCCAGTTTAGAGGTTGACTTCCCAATTCAACTTTGACCCACTCTACTTGTCTACTCCTGTGTATTGAGGGATTATTGCAGACATGACAGCAGCACCTACTTTTAGTTTAACCTCAAAATAAAGTGGTTTAGATTTAAGAGGCTTAACTGATCGTCTATTCACTTGTGTTTCGTGGCTTGAAGAACTGAACTGTAGCGGTGAAGCCGTAAGTGTCATTATGAATGATGGCCCAAACTATGAAGGCAAGTAATAAACCAGAATCCATTAAACCTTCTCATCCTTTCTTCATCTTTGTATATCTCCTCCAGCTGACCTATCTGGGTCCTCCATTCAACGAGAAAGACTTCTCCCCTCCACGACCCAACAGTACGGCTCTGTCCCTGCCCAGTGCCGCCACCCGCCTGGAGCTGTGGCACAGCCTGGAGAATCAAGCTCGGCTTGCCCAGAACCAGAAGGCCTACTCTGTCCTGCTGGCAGCCGTCAGAGAGTTGGCCCGCTCCACCCTCTGCCCCTCCCTCAAGATCTCCCTGCTGCACTTTTGCACAGGCCTGGATGGGCTGCTGGGCTCCATATCTGCACTGATGACCACACTCGGTTCTGCACTTCCTCCTCCATCTACAGACATTGGAAGTAATGCTGGAGAGCTGCAGTACCCCCAAAGGGGGGCAGGGGGCGATAGACCAGCTCCACTGATGAGCCAGAGCCTTTACAGGTCCAGAGCCGGGACAAGGACCGAATCCGGTCAACGTAACAATCAAAGAAGAAGCGGGACGAGGGTGGTCACAGGGGAGAGGGAGGACGGCGTCACCGTAGACCTGGTGGAAAAAAGGAGAGGAAAAGAGGGGAGGAGAGCAGAGGCGACCGCAGCTGGAGGAAGGAGTGGTGGATCAAGGGAGAAGGGAAGAGGAGAAAGAGGGAGGAGAGGGAGGAGGGAAGAGCCAGAGAGCGGGAAATGGACTGCCGGCAAAGACGAGAGTAGAGTAGGAGAGGAAGAAGAGGAGGCGCTGGAGCGAGACGGAGGGGTGGAGAGATGGGGGAGGAGGAGAAGGTTGTTGAGCATCAATGAGGATGGAGAGGAGAAGGAGATGGAACCTGAATCCAGGGTGGAAGTGTCGTATCCGGGCACAAAAGGCTCCACCTCCCTTCAACAACCGACTCTCCAAACCAACAACAACAACCACTACAGCTACAACCTGAACTCACGTCACCCCGATACACTCAGAAAGGAAGATGGGTTTATTGTAGAAACAGGCAGGGGGTTAACGGTGGAGGAGGAGAAGCAAACAGACATGGAAGCTACTTCCTCTTCCTCCACTTTCCATCATCGTCGGCCTCCTCGCTCCCTCCTCTCCCCTACCCTCCAACCTCCTCTGTCCACCCTCTCCCTCCTCTACCAGTTCGGTGCAGGTGAGGAGCACACCCTCCTCCCACAGCCTGTCCCTCTGTCTTTACAAAGGGGCACCTCGCTCCTTTCGCCTCCTCTGACTCCGCTCCTGTCCTCCACCTCCTCGTCGTCCTCCTCACTGCTGTCGGTGCGGCCGACGATGAACGACTTCGCCAGGAAGGTGGAGGGATTTTGGATATTGCGAGAGCTGCAGAGTTGGTTGTGGCGATCGGCGAAGGACTTTAACCGCCTCAAGAAGAGACTGAGAGGCTGAGAGACTGAGACGGGAAACACACCAGTGCAGTATATCGTAAATCTATTACTTGCACAAAGACTGAGTGGAAACAAACTGAGAGCTTTAACAGACAAAAGCACATAAACACATTCATGCTTAACATATTCATTCATACAGTACTGGAATAAGTGAATGAAGGACTTTTTGGCAGGTCACCAGAAGTGCTAATGGAATATAACACACACAAAGCCAACACATTACCAGCACTGTCACCCGACTAATGCACATAGCAGCTCATTCAGCGAGACACACTGAGACTGGGCCTAGTTACCGGACTTCACGGCTCATAGATCAACAGAAATACCACTGTAGGTGGTTAGAAACACACACACACACACACACATACGCACACACATAGTGGCAGACTGAGTGACAGGCAGAGAGACAAACAGACAGTGCAGCCATTGAGAAAGAAAGCTGATTCAGTGACCCCAGATGTGTGAATCAGCAAACGTTCATTTTCTCTAAAGGAAGAAGGGAAACTGTCTGAATGGGTGTAAGACAAAGGGAGGAAATGACCAGAGGGATGAAGAGGAGGAGAGGAAGAGGCAGAAAGAGGAAGACGGGAGGGGGCGTGAGTCAGGGGATGAGCACTGGAAATAACGGGCAGAGGGGTACTGCTGAGTAATCAGAAGTCGGTTACAGTAACTCTACAACGGCACTACACATACTGTCCAGACACGCACACACACACACACACACACACACACACACACACTTATTGGTGATATTTGGTGCCTTAACAAACCTTTCTTTTCTATTCTCCTTTTGATTCAGTGCTCATTCATTTGTACAACTTTTTAATGATTTCATTCCATAGCAAATAAATATTTAACATAATCTTTAAATGTTTTATAGTAGTAATAGTAGTCCAAACATTTGGGGAAATATACTAATTTGCTTTCTTGCTGAGAGTAAGATGAAAACATGAATTATACCACTCTCATGTTGATCTAAAAGTAACAAAATCCACCTACCAGCACCTCTTAAGATCACTAATTAACACGCAATATCTTGTTTGATTATTCCTGACAAAACAAAGATTTAAAAATGAGTGGATTCTTGTGCTAGGCAACACTTTCAGTCTGTGTATGAGTTACACAAACAGGATATAATGTTGGTGAATATGTCACCTTTGGTCAGAGCCAAGATAGCTTTTATCCTCTGCCGTCAAGCTTAACTTAAAACCTAAAAATGAATCTATGGCAGCTACGTGAATAGGCTTTGTTGCTACGTCATAGCTGATGTGCAAAACGTGAACATGTTGGGGCGGTGGCGGATACGGAGATGCCATGATATCAAATGTCACAAATAACAACCTGTGACTGTGATGGTATCTGCAGCGGGACTTCTTTTAACCCGTTGCTTTGACTAATCTAGCTTCTGTCTTTATGCTTAGTTAACTGTCTTCTGGCTCCACTTCATGGCTGCACAATTAATCGTAATATTATCAAACTTTCAAAGTGCAATATCCAAATTACAGAAGCAATTTTCTCGACAAAACCGCATTATAATGAAGGTCTGGCTTACAAATCAAACAATGTTTGTTTGTTACAGA